CAGGAACCTGTAATGTCTAACACATGTACCAAGTTTGAACGAAATCCATCCATAAATGCCAGAAATGCTTGGTATTTGATGATTGTTTAGCACAAAAAGGCCACCATTTGGCCATTTTGAATAGGATCGTCAAACCAATATATCTGTCTATCTATGACATGATGTATAATGAATATTTAAAATTTGAACATAATCAGTGAAAGCAAGTCAGATATGGCACGAGAACCACATTCATTAAAACAAAATAACTGCCAGTCGGCCATTTTGAATCTTATCTAAAAAACAAAATTATTTGCATCAAGGTCCCATAATGTCTAATGTATATACCAAGTTTGAACAAAATCCATCTGCAAACAGCCGAGAAATGCTTGATTTTGATGTGCTAACACAAAAATGGCCGCCATTCGGCCATCTTGAATCAGATCGTAAAACAAAATATGCAGCAAGGTCCTTTAATGTCTAATGTATATACCAAGTTTAAACAAAATCCATCTGTTAACAGCCGAGATATGCTTGTTTTTGATGATTTTTAGCACGAAAATGACCGCCATTCGGCCATCTTGAATCAGATCGTGAAACAAATTGACGTGCATATGTATACTATCATGTATGATGTATGTGTGAAGTTTGATTGTGATTGGTCCAGGCATTTCTAAGATACAGGTCCGGACGCACGCACAGACACACGAAGGTCAAAACACAAGTCCCAGTTTTCGGACTGCGGTCGAACAGGGAATAAAAATGTATGGACACCAAACTAATTTTTCCACAAAAATTTATGCGCGTTGACTTGTTTACAATTTGTTCCTATGGCAGAAACATTCCATCATATCTTGTCACCTATGCTAAAAAAAATGTTATGTATACACAAGGATATTGTGACGAAACATTTGGGAATTTTGAATATTAGTACAACTTATCCATGGAATATGTCGATTCTGAAATTGTCACTTTTTGGATTTCACAAGTTTTCTTGAAAACTCATTCTTATCCCTAGAAACTTTAAATATAACCAACTTGCAATTTTTGAATGATTGTCATAATTTTTTCTAGGTTTTTATGGTAGCAAACTACTTTAATCTACCAATTTTTGATACATGTCGGCAGCCATCTTGTGTACGGCTTGAAACTAAATTTAGAGAAAAGTTAAGAGTCCTGCAAATCAGAAAAAAATACCAGTTTCACAACTAATCAGTAGACAAAATTCCTTGCATACAAACAACTAATTACACAAAGTCCATAGAACACTTTCCCAGCATTTTCGTTTCCTAATTTGTAAGAATCTGAATAACGCATTTCTCAACTTTTCTATTCAGTTTCAAGCTGTATTGAAGATAGCTACCCCCAATACAGCAATATATCATTCTTATTTGATTACTAGTTGTACACCAGCTGAC